AATGTATTCTATTTTGAGTACATTTAATTTATTTATGTAAATCATTTTTTTTCTTTTTTTCTTTTAAAATGATTGTCAGACTCTCCTTTTTCTTACATAACTCTTAGGAGCGTTATTTCTTCTCTTATACCTCTCATCCATCAATTAAAACACTTCATTCTTATCATATCTATTTCTCATACATGTTTCATAACAGGAAATAAACAAGCAAGAAATCTCACATGCATAAAAACAGGTAAACATGCAATCATACAATCTCATGCAATTTCATTCATCATCACAGATTTTCCACTATTTTTATATACTTTATAATTTACATTTACATTATATGAAAGAGAAACAACATCACATAGAACAACTTAAGCACATAAGATAAATTATCCTTAAGTTTTTTTAATTGACTTATATACTTGTCTTATATGTATGTTTCTATTCTTTTTAAAAGACTCGGAGTCGCCAGCTTGTATATTCGTCATCATATTATCCTCTTTTCCAATAACCTCCTTTATGAATCATCGAAATGATTTGAATAAGGAAAGGTGTCATAAAATGAGAAAATACGTGAGAGAAAAGAAAAAATTATCAAATAATGTAGAGAACATATATTAGGGCAATCCTATTGTGATAGACCCAAAAAACATATGTCCAAAGCAAATCAAAGCAAAATGTTTTGAAACCATATCTACGAAGAAAGCCTTAATATAAGAAACACACATACCAGAGAAATCAGAGATTTTTATTGTCTGTTTTGAGTTCAAGAGTAAATATCAAGGAAACATATTCATTTGGTTAATTACAACTTAGGGGATACCCAAAAATATGCTTAATAAGTTTAAAAGTCTTGCTAACACTAATGATAACTGGTTAAGATGGGGAGTCAAAGGAAATAGTTACCTCAAACAGGAACGCCTCGACTCGGTGCATCAAATACCTATACCATGTCGTAAGGGTGGAGGGAAAAAGATCTCACATCCTAAATTGCCAGCGGCTTATCAGTGGTCGAGACTTGACGAGATAACCGGGTCATCAAGCAGGACCTACATCCAACCGTAAAATGAATGATGTTCTGTAGGAAGGGAAATTTATCAGCACTACAGAATAAGTAGGTTTAATCGTTGCTTCCCTTCCCTTAGTGAACAAGGCTCCTTGTACAGAAAGTCAATTTAATAAACTATCATGTGTGTCCAAACCCAGTAAACACGCAAACAGGAATGTCTCAATGCTTCAAAAATCTATACCAAGCTTTAACGGTGGAGGGAAAAATAACTCACATCATAATTGACCAGCAACCTATTAGTGATTGAGGCCTTACGAGGTAATCGGGTCATCAAGCAGTACAATCCCACCGCTTCAAGGCCTTACTAAGCCATAAGCGTAGAGGGCGAATCACTGTATCCCAAGCCGATAGCGGCCCGTCAGCTAAGTGGTGCCCTGTTAGATGACTGATACACCTTAAAAGTTAAAATTACCTATTTTAAATATGCATTTAATGCTAATTTTTTGTACATTTTTATGATATTGCACTTTAATGAAAGATTGCATGTTTTGGGTTCCATGTACAAGAAATTGATTTTTGGAGAAAAATGAGCAAAAATGGTGCAATTTGGAGCCAAATCATGGAAGGAAGAAAATTCTGATCTCGCACACTTTGTTAGAGCAAGATTAGACCTGAAAAATGGTAAAACGAAATGAGTTGGAGCTGCCCCAACTTTTAAACTAGCGCCATAGCACTGATTCTAGCTTCATAGCACCAATAACCGTTTTAGATGGTTATTACTCAATTTTGGGAGTTTTTAAGCACCATTTGGCACTTGGGAAGGTACATTTTGGCATCTCAAACCCTTGGAAACTCCAAGCACGTCCGGAGGTCGTAGATAGGAGTAGGAAACTTAGATTTCTACCTTTTCTGGAGAGATTGGTGAGGGATTTTAAGAGATATCTGTAAGGAATTGTATGAGCATTGCGTGGATCAGTAGAAGACTTCGTTTGAGGGATTTTCATCTTCCTTTCAAAAGGAGAAAGTTAAGTATTGTGTTCTTCATTATCTTATAATTGTTGTAAACACTTTTATAGTGAATTTATTTTGATTTAAATGATGTTTTCTGTTGTGTTTTCGCCATGCTTTATGAGTAGTTTTCATTACTACTCCTTGTGATGAGAATTAATCATATATGAGATTAGAATGGTTTGATGATTTCTTTTATTCCAAAATTATGATAATATTTTCATCGGTTTCTTAATTTACTTTGTAAATTGATCATTAGTACTGTTAAAATCCACTGCGAAGCATAAAGACACGGTAGAGCTATAATTTCACCCAACTAGTGAGTATCTCACTAACCTTATGAGGAGGAGAACCAAAATCTAAGGAGAGTGCAAATATATTGCGAGATAAGTTTTGATAGACGTAGAACTGGTGTTTTTAGGTGACTGGTTAGATCCTTTACCAATTTGGTCTAAGGTTAGAATTAAGTGTCCTTGGTAGGTTCTATAGAAAGGGCCTAGATGATAATCTAGAAGTGGCAGGCTAGAATCTACTCAGCACTACCACACAAGCTAGAACTTACTTTAGATTAGATAATGTTCTTTATGCACTCGTAAGTGAGTGAAGAAGCAGGTATGCTCAAATTTGTCACAATACAACATTTTAAACTTTAAACATTTGATTCCTACACTAATTATATTCTCATCGCAAGGAGAATGGGATTTTAATTATATAAAAAATTTTCAAACTTTAACCAATCTTTTTAGATTAAGTTTTTATTTAGGTTTTTATTTAATTTAGTTAACTTTAATTTTAGGGTAAATTAGTAAATTTAGGAAAACCAAACTTTTTTAAAATTCCAAACTAAGACCTAATAGTAGTATACTAGAATTAGCCTAAGGGAATTATTACCTCGCTTCTCTATGGGATCGATACTTGGGTCTTTAAAAAAAGTCATATATTACTTAAAAAAATACGTACACTTGTGTAGAACCACTAGTGTGTGAAATATAAATAAAATTCTAAACTCTATATCATATATATTTTGCACACTAGCCGCTAAATATAAATTGGGTCAAGTTTATGATCTTCTTTTAGGAATTTAAATAACTGCGTAATTGCGGGTCGGGTCAAGTTTTTTGGAGTCGTTGTCGAGGAAGCTACAATAAGAGCTTTAGGAGAATTATAGTTGAATCTGTAAGACTTAGATTTAGAAATCGTAGTTTTATTATGTTGTCTATTTTTGTGTGTTATTTTAAAGAAAATCCAAAATACAAAAAATATTATTTATATTTGTCATATTAGTTAATTCTTTAAATTTATATATGTAGTTTAGGTGTTACATACCTTGAATTATATGACTCAGATCGAGAGAGAACTATTAAGAGGATTATGAATCAGAAAAGATTCCATGAATTTATGGTAGAAATAGTAGATCGACAACAAAATTAATAGTCAAATTTGGATTATAATGCTACTCAAGGACCCCCAATTATTAAGAAAAATTCATTTAGACAATTGATCAAAACTAACTCTTTTGAAACTAGCCATGAGATATACATCCTTATTCCAATTATCACAACTCGGGTTGGGAAAATCATTCAAGCTTTAATTGGAAAAATAATTTGAGGAGAAAATCAATTGTGGGGAAATAATATGTAATTGGAATAATCAAGACAACTATAATGATGGTCTTTCTTTTTCAATTTAATTTTGATCCACATAATTTCTGAAGAGGTTGTTATTCAAATGACGAGTTAGTTGGAAATTCTAGGGGCGGCAATAAGAAATATAGAAAACCAATTAGGGCAGATTGTTAATTCAATTAATAGTTACCCTACAGAGATTTGACCTAGTGACCCTGAGATAAACCTTGAGGAGAAGAATAGTGAACTAGATAAAACTATCCAATTAAGAAGTGGAAGAGAAATGGAGAATATTGTTCAAATAAATATTGAGAAGATAAATTTTTAAGCATCCAAAGATACATTTTTATCTAAAAACATTTTTCAGAAGATTAAAAATTTTTTTAAGAAAATTAATTCTTCAGATGAATTCATTATGACATTGCCAATGGTTATCATGCTTAGTGTTAGAGCCATGTAGCAACAAATAACCAGAATAATTTATTCAAACTTATTCTTCTGACACTCGATCAAAGAAGTAAAATGATGAGCGAATTTAATTCAAAGTGCATATATACCATATATATAAAATCGTAAGCTCAAGATCTCTTGATTAAGAACTAAGCTCTCAGTCAATATGTTAATATGTTAAGGTGGTCAGCATAAGCTAAAACTTTATATTTCAAAGTCCAAGGACCAATTATAATCTAGAGCACTATTAGCCCTCACTAATTTTTTTCCTTTTTAATTTTACTTTCCCACCCTATTTAGTCATTCATGTTTCATCAATCATGAAATAGTGATTAATCACATATGAAACATAAAACCCATGGAATTAATATGGCTTTAAGGCACATGAAATGTCATTAAAACCATGTAAATTACCAATCATAGAATTTGCAGCAATGTTGATGAGCACGCTACAAACTAATCAAACTCGATAGTCCTAATTTCCTCTATCGAATTCGAGGATCAGTTTGACCAATTACTTTAGGCCTAAACATTTTTGCATTTACAAATTCAACTACTTACAACTTGATCTAAAATACAATGTGTCATATGTACAAAGTCAACGGCTAGGGTAGAAGAAAAAAATATAACTTGATATACATAATTTAATATCTTAATATTTTGCAACCACAATATCTACATAATCGCAACATAAACAACAAAATATAAAAAATTGATTTTTAATTTATTTTAAATCACCTTAGACTGTGCCATTTGCAATAAAATGAAAGCATAAGCTCATAAGATTTGGCATTTTGATCTTGACAGATTTTACATGACATAGCATATATCAAAAATAAAAATATAGTTTATCCAATGATTTTCATACGCAAAAAAAATAAAAAAAAAGATTTAAAGCATATTCTAGGACGTAATTTGATTGCAGTATGATTCAATCTTGTTGCAAAAAGCATGCATCACTAACTAATTAAGGTACATACTACAATCGAGCAACAATTAAATCCATTAAGAACAAATTGTTCTTCTTCCTCGCTATACGTGCTAAAATATAACTTAAAGAAGCTCCTGATTTAGAGTTATTAATTATTTGAGTAACTTTAAGACTTCATTGACGCCAATGCTGCAGCAGTAGTCAAAGCTTGCTTCTGGAAAGATGTGAGTTCCAAACTGCTGCAAATAATAAAGTTTGACATTTCAAGTAATAGAAAAGAAATATATTTTTATGAAAATACTTTAATTCAAAGTGTTTTAAGACAATTTTTTTCATTTCTAATATGCAAATTTCTGTAATCTGGCTAACAGTTTTCTTGCTACTTTTTAATATTTTAAGAGTGACAAAGATCAAGATATGTTAGATTATAATAGTCATACAAAGAAATTCTTGTTCATCATCTTTCAAGAAAGAATAGTTATTCTTTCTGGAAGAATATCTATAGATATACATCCTGCAATTTTCGTTTAAATGTTGTTTTGTTCATGGAATCACACCCAAAGATGGAGCTAGTGAAGTAGGACGAGCTAGAGAGAAGAGAGTGAAGAGAGAAGATGAATTGAATTTTAGGGTAATAATCCAGTGGAGAAGGAATACTCCATACTCGATTTACATTTAGCATTTATAAAAGGTATTTTCTCTATAAAAAAAGAAGTATATGATATGATTACATATAAATTCCTTGGGATCCATGGCTATTCAAACTTGCCTTTTCGTTTCTGGAGAGTTTAAACTATATTGTCTTTGACCTCCTATATTTGCCGGTGAGGCATTCAGATGTTATCAAGTCTGATCACATAAGGTGTCCAATCAACCGCCTTTCCTAAAAATTTAACCTTCGGGAACTTTAGGGGCAAGTAGGCTGCTATCCCAGGGTTGTCTGGTATTCGTCAGCATCTACTTCCATAGTCATTTGCATTCAAACCACCTGTACTTGGCTATTCGTGCTAGACCAATTTCTCTTGGGCACTGTATGTTCGATTATGTGTGTCTGGGCTTAATTGAATTTGCTTCTTCTATTCATTGGGCTAGACCTTTTCGTAGACTTGCACCAGAAAGTGAAGCCCATTAAGTTAATTTGTTGGTCTGTTGAGAATGCTACTAGTAGTACATTTTTAGTTTCCTGATTCTCTCCTCTCTTGAAGAGTGGTGTTGCAATAAGAACGAAAGAATAAATATATTGAATTATTGCAAAATTTAAATGTTTCTTATAACATGGATACTCCTTCAGATTATGGACTCTTTGGTCCTTACAAATAAAATGATGAGCTACTATTAGATTCATTTGCATTTCACCATTTATTCTCTATTCTCAAATTTGACTGTTGATGTTCATTCATAGTGCAATGGCAGATATCAACAAAGCTAACACCGATATCCCAGATGATGAGTTACGAGACAGTTTATTTACTAATTGAGAACGTGATGGTAGCCTGAAAAGATAAAGAGGGTAGTGAAGAGAATGAGTGAGAGTTCAACTTCCGCCTTTTGGGAGGCAACTCAGATGATTTCCATGGGGACGACTTTCACAAAGTTGGATTCCATGGTAGGAAATTTTGCTAAGGACTCCCTTCCACATGCTGGAGAGAAACTAGAAACATTCACGAGAGGATGCTCACCCCGAGTAATGTCAGCAAATTAGACAGGATCCCTATAGCTTCACAACTTTAACGTTGTTGTGGACCAAATGGTATGTGAACAAATCTTATATGTTAAATAAAAGCTAAGAAAATGCATGCTGTGTTGTTAGAGTGATTTTTTCAGCTCTAAACTATGGCATAGAGAATGTTGATCAATTCAATTTGAATGTGCTGTCGGATGCTTTTGAGGGGTAAGGCGGTTACAATCAACAGTACGAAACAAAAGTGAGGCATGGGGGAAAATGAGGGTCACAAGGACCGTACAATGGTGGCACCTGCCTCTCTCCTCCAAGATGCAGAGAAACCATTCCTACGAACACTTGAAGTTGCCCCAACTTGTGGACTTGGCTGAATTAGCACAGCAGCTAACGAGAGTTTGCCGAGTTGAAAGGATCCATTAAAAATATCGAAGGTGAATTGTGGGATCTAAAGGACAAATGCTTGGTGCTTCAAGGCCAGGCCGAATCTAACTGTTTGGGCCAGTTCAAAGCTGGAAGAGAGATCCTACCGCAACGACTCATTCGATCAGGTAAGAGTCCAGACAGAAATTGTTCTAGATTCTAGTGTAGAGCTTTTGTTCATAGTACCTTTGCATTTGTATGCTTTGATTTGAATCGATTCATTTGTAATGAATGTTATCTCTTCTTGATTGAATAAAATATCTGGTTCTGGCACTTAGATTTACACAATAATTCAATTACATCAATCAATACAATTCTATCTGGTGTCCTGTCTTTTACTTTCTTACCCTTGTGATGATTATGGTCTCTTACACTATAAAAAAGGTTTCCGAAATTCTCATCTCATTCCGTTTGTCACTCATAACAAGCCCTTCTCTCCACTATGTTTCATCATGTCAGCTGCTTCTAGCTCCAACCATATGACATTCGCCGAAGTCAAAATTCCTGGGAAATCAAAGATGTCCAATGAAGATGTTGAATTGACTCAATGTGACTGTGTGTTTGACTCCTTCATTTGTCTGACGGCGATAGAGTAGAAGGCCAACCCTCTTCACCACAACAAGTTGCTGTTCTACCATTTGCAATTGCTGCTCTGCATGGAATTGATAAGACAGCTTTTGTTTCTGTTATATCATTCTGGCTCACATTAAGTCGAATTCCTTGGCTAGGAATATATGACATTTATCATATTTCAGTGCTGATTGGATGTTTTGTGGTCACTTGATCATTTTTTAGAGCTATTCCCCCTTAGGACTTATAAGGGTGGGTTCGTGCAGTTCTTCAGAACTGGCATCAACTTCAGCACCTTGAGAAAAGGTCAATAATTGGAAAAGGAAGTTTTGTTTCACCTTTTCTAAGAAAGGATAGCCGATGAAGAAAAAGCCAAGCCCTCTCGTTTCTGACAAAATAAAACTGAAATTATCTATTGAAGGGCTGGCATATTGCAATATGGTGAAAGAAGCAAAACACGATGTTACCAAGTATATAGAAGCTACCATAATGGGGAAGATATTAGCTCGTAAGTAATAAGATTATTAATCTTGGTTTCGCTTCTTCTTACCCTTGGCTTGTCTTTTTGACTCAACACCAACACTCAGCCAACTTTAAGAGAGTGATCGGGCATTTCAAAGTGTTATGGAGAAGAAAACTACAAGAGACACTTGGGTATAAATTTATCGTCTATCTTTCCTCTTGCTTGGTAACTAAAGACTTGTCACTTCTTTATGCAGCACAAGAAGAGCAAATCAAGGAACTCGCTTATTCAGATAAAAACACATAATGTTTTTCTATTTACCCTTCTACCATGGTTCTCCAAATGGTGGAAACAGATGAATCAAAGGCTGAGAATTATCGTACCAAGAGAGGGTTTTCAACGAAGAGGAGCAGCAAGTTAACCCACTATCTTCTGCAGTTGCTGCTCCTACAACGACTGTAAGAGTGGAGTCATCTAGCGAAAAGGCCGCTCAACCAAATGCTGATGATGCTTTCACCGTAGCTCTGAATGTGACTCCCATTCCGGGTGAGGAGGACAATGTGAGTCTTCTTTAAGAGGTCACACATAAGCAGAAATGGAAAGTGATTGCTGAGGATGAGTCAATGCTGAAGTGAAGATCATCGGCCCCCATTGAAAAGGAGTCTGGGTCATGGCTGCCCTCTTAAAAGAAGGGGACTGAGATTCTAAGAATAAATGAAGATTGAAAGCATGCTCTCGTAGACTTGACTTTGGATTAGAATGCCAAATCAGGCGAAGAGATGCCCCTTGCGTATCACTTAGGACTACTGATTTATATGTTTTTTTGGTAGAAGCTTCTGAAGGTCCTAGATAAAGACTTCGTGTTACTTGACGCCATGCATTTGCAGGAGGAGAGTTGGCAGACCACCTATTCATTGGTGAAATCTTTCAGGAGGATGATGCCAGACCTCGCTTGGGAGAAGAAGAGAAGGGGCTCTGAGAAAGCAATCTCCAAGCTGAGAAAGGAGGAGGGATTGAAATCAGCCCCTTCAAATGCAGTAGAACAACAAACCGAAGCTCTAAAAGGGGAATGTTCTAAGTTGAGGGCAAAATGCCACAAACTTGAGGAGGAACTCCAACGAGTGAGAGAGAGAGAAAGCATATGATGACTATGAAGACCCATAGATGTTTGTAAAATCACTACCAAAAGCAAAACATAGAAAGCTACCATTCAGAAGAAATTATTGAAAGAAATTCTATAGTACCAAGGGTGCCTAAGCAAGAACGAGATACTCTCCATAGAATCGCTGAACATAAAAAAGTTCAGCTAAATGCTTACCGAGTCCAAAGGGGAGAGTAAAAGCTATGATATAAGGGAGGGAGGTTCTATGAAATGAGTAGTAGGCCTTAAATAGCAAACTCTACATTGCTCTCTATTTCACATTTTTGTGTTAAATGAAACATATGTACTATTTTTTATTACTACTATCTCTATTCATTTCTTCTTCTATCAATTTCAATGTTTTTCTCACTAAAATGTTAGAAATATTTTTGTGAAAAGTAATTGTTGTTATAAATCATACTCACCTATGCAAATAATCTAAATTTTAAATTCACAACGTACATTGTAGAATTTGGTTGTGCGAATCAACAAAAAAGCTTTGGTTGACTTGAAATTTGTGAGGTGAATAGATAATTCCAAGTTTCTTCCCATTTCAGTTGACTAGATATGAGGGGGGTGCATGCCAGTAGTCATCGAGTGAATGGTGTTCATCCTCATCTATAAACATAGTTGAATTGATTACCCTTGCTTGAGTTCCCCAAGCATTGGTCTTAACCATAAAGCTACTCTATAATGACTCTAGGATGCAGTGAATATTTATTACCTATTAAAGAGACCAATCAACATTAGTAACGTGTTAAGCGCTTTTTATTAAGGGTTGACATGTCAAGGTGCTATTGCTTGAAGATTTGGCACCATTAATATGGATATTAGTGCTTACAATAGTTCCATTGCCTCCGTTGAATATAAACAGGAGAGGTTCCGTTCTTGTAAGACTAAAATGACAAATAAGATCTGTAAGGACTTTAAGGAGGTTGGAAAGAGGGAGGAGGATAAATCGGAT